TTTTGAGGGGGGGGGGGGGGGGAATGTCAAATCTTTTTAAGAGGCCAGTGACGATATTTCGTTAATTAGTTAGACCCGAAGCTTTATTATTATTTTGCTTTTTAATTTTAAAAGATTCTCCACACTTTTAATTTGACCGAGCATTATTATTATGATAGTTTGAAGCCCAACCCAAATATTTTATTTAACTTTTAATAAAGTTTATGTCAAATTAAGATAAAATAAAAAGCAAAATAAGCCAATAAGCCTAAACTAAAATAATTAAATTTAAACTTATGTATATTATATATATAAAATAATATTATAAAGACTAACTTAATTAAGTCTTAACTATTATAATAATTAAAACTATACTATACTGTCTATACTATACTATACTGTATCTTGCAAGCACTACTATTAAAGTATTACTATTACAAAAAACACGAAATGACGTCATGTCGGATTGAATGAATTGACCATTTATTTTAATTTTATTATTATTATTATTATATTTTTTTTTTGCTTTAGAAAAAAAGCCACCATTTAAATTATATTAAATTAAAACCTTATAAAAATATCAACTCAAGATGTAGTTTAAGTATTTTTATCTCGGTAAAAAGTAGGACCCGGATGTAGTGTTTTTTTGTTTGATGTTTTGATATTTTTTTTTCATTCTCATTTTAGTGTTTGTTGTTGGTCAGAATGATTGTTTTGTTTTGAGTTGTTATCTTTATCTATAAGAAGGAAATGTAATTCGTTAACATCCCGAAGTCGATTGAATTCTTGAAAAATGGCTGGAAAGCGTCCAAGCCAGAAAGGCCCTCGCAAGGCCGTTTTAGATGATACTCTGTTAATGTCGGCAGTGACAAAATATTTTAAGCTCGCTGGTGTTGTATCTGCAGTCTGGCTTGTCGGTTATTTTAAGTTTTCTGTTAGTTGGTTATGGCTTCTCCTGGTTGTATATATATGGAAGGAAAGGCATACGAAAACAAAACAGCATAAATTTGCAATATATCAGCAGCTGGCTATAGATGAAAAAGCAGTCATTTTGGCTCGAGTTGAAGATTTACCATCATGGGTAAGCAGACTTTTTTTTTGTTTTTAAAACTATAATAGTAATAATTAAATAATACATACATTTTCTACTCATAAAAGTAAATGTTAATAAAAGAGGTCAATGGTTTCTATTGCCTTCCCTGAATGCTTGTATGAGATCTGCTGATGAGAAGCAGATTTAACACACTCCTCTCTCCCCTCGCCCTCAGGTTGAGGTCCAGGTACAGATCAGAAATAGTATCACTTAATCACTTAGTTAGTAGGTAGGCTACTTTGGTTAAAAAGAAATCCTATTCAATCAAATTAAAAATATTACAGTTGTATAGAGTGAATTTCAAATAAAAAATGAAAACAGAATCAAATTACTTAAATAATTACTAGCTTTAATCAAAGTACTTTTTGAGCTATGAATTTTTAAAATGCAAGTTCATGTTAGGTAGTTCGGTAAGATCCAGGAAGTGCCAAAAACCGGGTATCGTGATTTCGTTGTCAAAATGGCAAACTCCACTTTTTAAATTACAGAGAGTCACATTGTTTACGACTTTTTAACTATTTATAGCCCAGCATGTAAATTCTATTTCCACCCACAATTTAGAGTAGACATTTTGTGTTATGAGTCCCCCAAAAAATTTTGGGGCTTCACTTTGAAAATTGAAGGTAAAATAACGCAATTTTTACTCATTCATATTTTTTGTGTGGAAAGGAGCCTTTCTTTGAATTTCAGGGACTTTATTAATAATGGCATTAACTACAACATATCCAAGACATGCTAATTTAGGCCCATCAGTTTGGTCATAAATTTACTGGGAAATTTTAATCACGTGTGTCCCAAAATTACCTATTATCGTTAATATTCGTTGCTATGGTAAATAACCTGATTTACTCTGGAAATCCAGCCTATTACCCCCTAATAACTCATTTAAAAATAAACAAAAATAATTTATAAAACAAATACATATTTTTAATATGATTTGATGCTTTTATTGAGGGATATTAGGTTGAAAAAGCCTTATTAATTACAATTTATCGTTAACTATTAATTTTATATACTGGTATATGTATACTAGTAACTATATGTAATACATATACTATATATACATATATATATAAATGTATGATGTATATAAGGAGGCCTAGAATAGTATTACTATTATAAGTGTAGGCCTATCCCCCCCCTCCCCCCCCCCAATAGTTATTTGTAGGACCCATTATTCATATGTAATGATATATATGGTGATTCTTAAGGCATAAATTAAGTAAAAATGTACAAAAAAATATTCACTTACCTTTGGTATTGAAATATCCTATATTTAATCACATATCACACTATTCCAAAAGAGAATTATTATATAATCCTAAGTATTCTCAAAGAAAAAAACACACTTTCTGCCACATTAATCCAAGAATTACAAGAGATATTACTAACATTTAATAATAAAACATTGTAATTACCTCAAGGAAATAACTAGAACTTATTTAAAATTCTATCAACAGCCAAAGTTGATTCTAACAATAAATGTTGATCTGTGAAACAACTTTATTAACTAAAAATAAATGACATACTATTTTTTGTCATATTCACACATTCATATGGTATGGGACTAAAATACATTATATAGAAGATGGTAAAATAAAAAGTGTAATAGTCAATTTTAACTTATGGAAACAAATAATCCCTTTGTTATTAGTATATACTTATACATTTTAAACATTTCCACTGAAAATTTGAAATTAATATCTTAAGAATATTTTATTATTATTATGATTTTTGGGAAATGAAAAAAAACTATTTATACATAATTAAATTACAAATAAGTGACGAGTCAGCATATTTTATATATTTTTAAAAGGAAAAAAATTAAGATTTTTTAAATAATTTTTGCGGAATATTAACAAAAACTAACTTATATTTTGTGGTTTTATTTAGAAGTACTCTAATTAAAATATGTTCCCTGTAAATATTATATTTTTGTCTCATTTTATAATAAAGTTATAGGCCTTTAAAAAACAGCAATATGAGGGTCACAAAATGTGGAGGAAAATCCCATAGTAAAAAAAGTGCCTTTGAGGTCCCTACTAAAAAATTCATAACTTTTGAACCACTTGAGCTAGAAAGTTGATCTTGGTGTTTTGGTGTTAATGGAGAAGATGCCTAGCTCAATGAGGGAGTAGTGATAATAATATCTCCAACTACTGAAAAAGGCTGTCATAGAATGTCAGCCAAATGGACACAGAATCATAAGTGACAATCTTTGAAACATTTAAGAAAGATATTTTAAAAATAATTTATGAAATACTGCAAAAAGTCATCTCAACTTAAATAGACTATTATTTTAATGGGAGAAATTAGTACAGAGATTTGGGTTAAAAAATGGGAAGTGAGAAAACCATTGTTAAAGAAATATTTTAAATATGGGAAAAAATTTTTGGAAGAATCATCAAATATAGAAAAATCTATGTCCATCAATTTTGACGAGTTAATTAAGAAATTGTTTGTACTAATAGGAACATACAAATATTGTACTCCTGGCTTTTTACTAGATTTCATTCCGTTTTTAACTTATAATTAATTTAACTGCTGCAGTTGATTGCATTTCTTGAAATAATTGAAGCTTCAGTTCCATAGATTAACTATGTTTATTATAGTAAACACACCAGCTTTTAAAGCTGCTTTAAACATAGTGTAGACCCAAAAATGATTAATTGAAACTATTTTAAGTGAAACTATGTGTTACATTTGTCTTGAAATACCGCCAACCAGGTGACCATTTAAATTACATTTGTAGATTTAAAAAAACATTTTATACAAAAATTATTTGTATCCATCTGTGACAGGTGAATTTTCCAGACGTAGAGCGAGCAGAATGGGTAAACAAGGTAATCATGTCAAATATTTTTAATTATATTCAAATTCATTTTTAAATATTTTTATATAAGTAGTATGGTACAGAATTAGCCAGAATATCTGCCTCTAATATGGTATCTATAACTAGATGTTAGATTTAGATATTGAGTGGACAAATGTTTAACTTTATCACTTTTCCATGTTGAGTATCATTTAGTTTAAAAGACCATTAAGTTCAAATATATATTACATGTATTTCCCTATGATCTTTTTGAACTAATTATTTAAAATATAGTCATTATTCTTAAACACCTTTTTTTTAAACTTTGATAATTACTTTTTAAGTCTGTTATATATTTTTTAACCTATTTAATTTAAAATTGAGTCTTTCTCAGATTTCCATTTTGAAAGAGCTATTTGCTTTACTTTTTAAAAATTACAGATGCTAAGCCAGATGTGGCCGTACATTGGGGAGTATGTGGAAATCATTCTCAGAGAAAGTGTAGAACCATCAATTCGTTCGAGTTTACCAGCAGCCTTTCAGTCATTCAAGTTCAGCAAAATAGATCTTGGCGATATTGTATGTTTTCTTATTAGTTTATTTGATATCATTTGTTCTTTTCTGAAATGGAAATCCAATTTTATGTTAGTTTAGTTGATAGCAAAACAAATTAATTTCACTCAGGAAATGTGTTGAATATTAACTATTAAAAAAAAAGATGTAAAGATAGATTTGGATTCAAGACACAAATTGTAAATATATATAAGAACAATATGAACCAGAATCTGAAAGTATTATCAACTCTTTCGCTGCAGAATTTTTAAAAAGAAAAAATGTACATTTTTTTTTTTTACTAGGCGCCAAAATTATAGAGACTTTGGGTTTATTAAAAAAATATTTAAATTATTTATTTATTTTTTTGTTAAAAAAGCTTTAAACTATGTAGTTAAAGTACGTAAAGTAACAGGAAAGAGACTTAAAATGTGAAAATATGAAATGAAAAACCCTTTTCCCCAAACATTTTGATGTAGGCGTAGATCATCTACATACTCAAAATCATCTCAAACTGCTACATTTGGAATCATATGATGGATATAAATCTAAATCATCTTCATTATCAATAAAAGTAGTATGCGACATTTCCAAAGCTTGTTGAGCTGTTATTCGTCTAGGAAACATACTCTACTCTCCCCACAAGTGCCTGGGGTAGCCATAGCAACAGTATTGATAAACAAAAAAAAACATCAAAGAATATTAATAAAATAATACTTCAATTAATAACAAATAAACCTTGCTTTCGCTCACAGACAATAAAGAACTACACTTCTATATAAAAGTCTAATTAAAAAATAAGTCTTAAAAAGTTTAAACAAGAAGTAGCAAAGAAACAACCATGATATTAAAACAACGCATTGCATTTGTCAGTGCTTTTTACTATGGCTGATGAATGTATTATGTGTTGTGCTGCAGCGAAAGAGTTAATGTGAACACTGCATTCTCAAAAATATCTTATCAACTTTATTTTAATTGTTGGATTTTCTCTCCATTTTCGGAACTAACATATAACATTTCATTTAGCCACCTCGGGTCGGTGGTGTGAAGGTCTACTCACAGCTGAAGAGAGATGAAATCTATATGGACCTTGAATTAAAGTAGGTCAAAAGATATGGAAGCCACAGATTGTTCTCAATACTATGCTCCAATAAATTAAAGCATTCTATTGCTCTGCTCTTTTCGCTAATAACTATACTAAAACACATAGGACGAAATGATATGTTCTAAATAAAAATTAATGAATCAAATATGACTGTTCCTATTGTTGTATCGTCCTAGATTAGCATGTTATAACAGTTATATATGCTGCACAATTAATTGACAAAAGTCTTGCTGCAGACTAACTTTAAGGAACAACGAAAAACTCAAGGATTTTCAAGACTGAAAAAACATAAGTGCAGTGGATGAAAAAAAACACATTTCCATTTATTTGGATCAATAAAATTATGTTATCTTAGCTTATATACAAATTTATCTGCTTAAAAAGTTAAAAAATGTAATATAAGTCATGAGAAAACGTAATTTAAGTGGGAAAAAATTAACAAGCATTAGAAAATATTTAATTTCATAAGAGGATGTTATAAATATTTTGGAGGGCAATGATTTAATGCAGAGAACTTAATATTTAGAGTACCATCTTCAGAACTTTTAAAGGCCCTAGGTTAAAAAATTGATGGAGCAGTGTCAAGTTCAAAAGCAATGTAATATCTCCCTGTGCTGTATGGAAAAAGTATATAACTTTATGTTCCAGTGTCTAGTATAAAAAAAACTTATTATACTCTGTCCCCAGCTACAGCAGTGACTGCAACATAGCAGTTAACATTAAAGGAATAAATGCAGGACTTAAAGATCTCATGGTAAATAAAAAAATGAATCATGATTTAAATTAGCAATTGTGACACTCAATAAAAGTAATTATTTTTTGTGATATGAATTAATACTGAGATGTTTTTCTTCAAAATGACTTTTTAATTCTGAGTATTCTCTGTATTGCAGTAGATATTCTATTTGAAAGATAAAACAGCAAATATGATTTGTTGATAAAAAAAAATCTTCTCTTGCTCAGCTTCACGGTACATTACGAGTGGTATTCAAGCCGTTGATCAACAAAATGCCTCTTATTGGGGGATTGTTGGTCTTCTTCCTGAATAATCCAGTAAGTAACTTTTGTCTACATGCATATTTTGTTTAATTCTTACATGACTGTGTATCCTGTTAAAAGCTCATGGTTCACAACTTAAAATAAATTTTGCCTCCTGAAATACTATTTCACAATATTGTAATATTTTTTTTTCTGGATCCAAAGCTGTGTGAAATAAAATACCACAAAAGATAAAAAATCCCATTAAATATTATTTTTACTGCACCGATAATGTATTACTATAAATTAATTTTTAAAACTTACTTTAATGTAGATACTCATTCTAAATGTAGATACTCATTCTAAATGTAGATACTCATTCTAAATGTAGATACTCATTCTAAATGTAGATACTCGTTCTAAATGTAGATACAAATTCTAAATGTAGATACTCGTTCAAAATGTAGATACAAGTTCTAAATGTAGATACAAATTCTAAATGTAGATACTCATTCTAAATGTAGATACTCATTCTAAATGTAGAGACTCGTTCTAAATGTAGAAACTCGTTCTAAATGTAGATACTCGTTCTAAATGTAGATACAAATTCTAAATGTAGATACTCGTTCAAAATGTAGATACAAGTTCTAAATGTAGAGACTCGTTCTAAATGTAGATACAAGTTCTAAATGTAGATACAAATTCTAAATGTAGATACTCGTTCTAAATGTAGATGCAAGTTCTAAATGTAGATGCAAGTTCTAAATGTAGATACAAATTCTAAATGTAGATACTCGTTCAAAATGTAGATACAAGTTCTAAATGTAGATACAAATTCTAAATGTAGATACTCATTCTAAATGTAGATACTCATTCTAAATGTAGATGCAAGTTCTAAATGTAGATACAAATTCTAAATGTAGATACTCGTTCAAAATGTAGATACCAGTTCTAAATGGAGATACAAATTCTAAATGTAGATACTCATTCTAAATGTAGATACTCATTCTAAATGTAGATACTCTTTCTAAATGTAGATACTCGTTCTAAATGTAGATACTCGTTCTAAAGCCCGTTTCATAAGCCAACCTGCCATAGTTTTGAACAGGGCAAGCAGACCCCACATAAAATATGCAATTGTAAGCAACACTTGAACCAAATAGTATCTAAGATGAGATATGGCTGGTGCAATCTCGTACTGATATCTTTCTTTTTATGCTGAAGCACATGAATTTAAAATTATTGTTAAAATCAATAAATATTTGTGAAACATGACATCAAAACTTCATTTTATTTCAAGAAAGTAAGGAGTAATAAAATAATTATGGTAAGTGCAGAAAATTATAAAATATCCTATGACCCGCTAACAAGCTGACCACCCCAGTTATTCCCCTGACATATTTTCTTTAAGTTGGTTTTAGAATGAGTATATGTGATAATTAGGTTAATTTTATGGAAAAAGACATGAATTGAACTATCCACTGAATTATCCAATAAATTACTCATTTTTCAAATTTGTCACCAAAAATATTTCAGGAACTTAATTTTAATCTCACGAGCCTGGCCAATGCTTTGGATCTACCGGGTCTGAGGTAAGTTAGCTGTAATGCTGTTGATTTTTTAAAATAATAAATATAGAATATTCAGATCACACTGATTGATTCAACAGTGATCTATATTGAAAATTTAGACTATTGAGCAGCATTTAGTTACAATTGATTATGTTGATGTAAATGGATGTTCAGTTAGGGGGGGGGGGGGGGGGGGGCTACTCTAGTCTGTAATGAAAGGTAGATCTTACTGTGTTACATGTGGATACATTTGAACATGAAATAGTCGCTTCTTTTATTCGGTTCATTGTGGTTTTATTAATTAATTTGTTGGTTCTCATTATCTCTTATTTGTGTAACACTTCATCACAGGTGTGTTGTTTGTTTGTTTTTTAATTTCTGTTCACAACCTTACCCTATGTCATTTTTGAACTCTCTAGTGATATGCTCCACTCAATCATTCAAGAGCAAATAGCCAACTTTATGGTACTGCCCAATCGGTATCCAATCCAGCTGGCAGAGGGTTTGGATCTCAACAAACTGCGCTACCCTCAACCTCAGGTACATTTTTATATGTTATTCACATCTGACTAAGGTTGGGCCCAATTATTATTGAAACTGATGTTGGTCTTTTTGTTTACCTTAATTTATGGTGTTCTATTGTTTCTCTCTCTCTTTTTTTTTTTTTAAAATGATTTTGAGCCATGAATGAAGCGAAGCTGCCCATAATGGTATTCCATTTGTACCTTTCCTCAAAGACACTCTTTAAGACGTGGCTATCTATCTTCTGTTTCCTAACTTTTTGTCCATGTGTTTTCTATTACATTTAAATATTCAAAATATGATTGGAGAAAATATTTAAACTGGTGTCTAATGGCGATATAGATGTTTCTCTGAAAATTAGACATTTACCGGCATGTATTTGCCTTATTATATATTCTTGATGAAAAAGTTGACTTATCTCAGAGTTTAATCAAGCACTAATATTGATATTCTCAATGGCCATTTGAGATTTCATATTTTATTACCTTGCAGGGAGTTGTAAGAATTAAAGTGCTTGAGGCAAAAGAGCTGAAGAAAGCAGATATAAGTCTTACAGGGAAAGGGAAATCTGATCCCTATGTTGTTATTAGAGGTAAAGTTTTGATACAGTAATATTAATCTTTTGATGATTCATATCGTAGCCCTAAAATCCTTTTATCTTTAAAGCATAATTGTAAAGCAGTTTCAAACGCTATTTAAAATTCTTTTACTAACGACACAGACCCATTTTAAAGACATATATTTAAAAGTAATATGTATTTTTAAAAAGTAATAAAATCTGCGTGATGAAATATATAATTTTTTATTCATGTATAACTCTCAAGATATTTCAAAGAAATCTACTTCTATAACAAATTCTCTATCCTCCAAGAAAACCTTAGTTTTCAGGTTTTTGATCCCTTGGGATTCCAAAAGTGTGTCTTTCCTCTAGCACTTCTTACCTGTATATAATGTTTACACTGGTTATTGTAATGAGATCTTCCTCAGAGTAGTGTATGGGATTCTGCGGAACTATTTCATTGCTCAAAATGTTTAGTCTGCATAGATATTCAGTTCAAGTCTTTTTGTCTTCTTATGATCTATTAGACTTGAGATTTTTTTTTTATAAGTTGTATTTCCCCGTCAATGTGATCTGTTTGTTTTTCAGGATGTTTTGAGTAATCGGGGTTATTTTTTTATTTTATTTCACTTGCAGTGGGTGCTAAAGAAGCCAGGACCAAAGTTATTAATAATACAGTGACCCCAATATGGAACCAATCATTTGAGATGATTGTAGATGAAGCTGATGGCCAGCTCTTATACTTGGATGTCTTTGATGAAGACCCTGGTAGTAAAGATGATGATCTGGGAAGGTACATTGCCATATAGTTTCAGTTCAGAAACTCTGGATATAAGGCTTTATAATAACACAGTTAACAAAGCCATTGTTTTTGGTTCTTTTTAAATTGATTATAGAATAGAGATTAACAGCCACGTAATCTATGCTACTTGGAAACTTTTATAATATTTATTTAAGTCTTTGAACTTTTCCCACTTTACTCTTGAACTTTCAATTATTCCCTATGTGACTGGTGTCTATTAGAACTTGTTATCAAGCCAATGATTTCAAACATTATTATTATTATTGTTTGTTTGTTCTTTAAGTTTGTCTGTATGATTTTAAATATAAATCAAATGAGATGATATGAATAAGTACCATAGGGCTTATACATTTTTTTTGCATTTTCAAATAATCAGTTAGTTATAAACTTAACTTTTCGTATGTCCACAGCAGCTAACTTATTTTTTTATCTTGATTATTTACAGGGTGAACATGGATTTATCAAAACTTCGTGACAGTGGATTTGAGGATGAGGTGAGCTCTATGAATTTTTGTTCTGTATTAGATAACAGTCATTTATCTAAGCCAGTGTCACAGCACTTTTTCTATAGTTGCAACTTTCTAATTTTAAAATTTCATGCCTATGGAGTCAAGAAATCTTTTTTGTGACTTTGGTCTCCATCCTTTACAAGTCCGGTAACCTGGCCTGCTTCCTGATTTTCAATGTCTTTAGATGGAGATTTATCCAACAAAATCAGTGGAGCAAGCTTACTTGAAAATGTCTTATTTTTGTGAGGTGGTGTTTGATATAAACCATTACTTTAGGTATCGTGTTTTTTTTAACTTGCAATAAAAAGGTAACGAATAAAGAATTACTATAGTGAATTAAAAAATTCCATTGCAAAAAACCCCCGAAAAACGAAGTAACGCAAGGTTTTATTTTCATGTATTATTTTATAGTTTTATTAGTTCATGATTGAGATATTAACACATGCTAATTGCTTCACCAGTGGCTGCCTTTAGAGGAAGTTAAACATGGTATGATACATGTTCAGCTGACATGGCTGTGGCTTGCTAATGATCCTTTGGAGCTTGACAGAGTATGTAATCAAAATATTTTTTTTAAATAAATGTTCTTTAAAATCATAAATTATGTTGTGCATGTCTTTCTCATGGTCTTCTTCATCAAATACCTGTAAATGTCCCTGACTGATATTAATTTTAAATTTAATTGTTTACGTGGGCATAGTGCTGATTCAAATGACTGTTCATCTCTCTCAAAAACTAAATCATGCATCAACATTAATTTGTAAAGAAATATGTTCGTGCATTAACATTTTGTTGTTGTTATAATGCAGTCATTCCTTCAAATTATTTGCTCGTAAATTTATCTGTTTGATTTTTCTTGAACCTAGTTTCTTGGATATCTTCCTCATCATTTACTTGTTTGTTTTTCTCTGCCTTGGTTGTTGTAGAAATGTCAGCCTATTACTTAATTATATATTCATTTCATTAAAACTGATCTTTTATTTTTAAATAATTCCATTGGACAATGACAATAGTAATTCAAAGCTTAACTGCTCTAAAGCTAGAACAAAGTTTTCAAGTCTGAAGTAAAGCATTACCTTAAATTTTGTTATGTCTGTTATATTCATGATTTTATTCCAAGTTAGAAGTAAACATATGCCCTGGCAATGAGTAAACTGGGCTTCCACTTCTTGGCTGTTGAAAATTTATTCCTATTTTGAATTGTGTCTTCTATTCGAGAAATGTAAAATGGATAATTGTTCCATAATTTTTTGTATCTCAATATGTTTGGATTGTGCCATGCCCATCTCTAGGAGATATTATTATATTGATTCTCTCTTGCCATCTCCTTCCTGTGTCTGTACCAATGTGTAATACCATAGCTACCTGTAAAAAAAATACTGCATTAGGTGATGTCACTGCAAATATATCCCCACTAGCTTGTGTAGAAAATGTTGTATGTCAATGGCTAATCTTCTTATCCAGTGCACAAATAATTATCTGTCATAGCTGAGTCACCTACTCATTGAAATCACCATGTATTTATGTTAACCTTCATTTTTTTTCTCCCTATTAATAATGAAGTCAGCTAGAGATAAAATAAATATCAACATTTAAATACATTTTAAAAAATTAAATGGGTTATTTTTGTATACACATACCTTTTCTGTGTCCTATGACCATACCCACAGATTCAATGTTAATACGAACACTTCCATAATTCAATTTAAGACTTCTTACTACTTAATCTTTCTTTTTCCCCTAAATTCATCAAGTACATGTATAGATAAAAGTGGGAGAAAAGGAATTGAATTAATGACCCAACTTATTAGTGCCATCAGTAATTTACATTATTATTAATCATGCAACAGAATTGTTAAATATCTGATTTATATAAATATGAAAGCTATAACTGCTATGGCACTACCTCAAAACTCAATACAATGAAAATTTTATTATCATAAAGGACTTAGAATATATTGGTTGTTGAGCAGTAGACAATTAACTGTGGGATGCCTTGGTCCACAACTACTACAGCTGGAAGCCTTTTTGTTTTTCCAGTAATGACGGAATAAGATTCTTTGACTGTTCTAATTTTTGTGTTCTTGGTGTCATTGCTGAGAGCCCTCCCCCATACACACCCATAAGCAAAAATCTCTTAATCTAGTACTACCCTCTCTCCGTCTTGTGTTTCCGTAATTATTGGTCCCTTCCTAAATTAAATTTTAATTAAAGTAAATAGTGCTTTATCTGTGCCACCATAGCAACAACGCACCATATTTATTGTAGTGAACCATTTTTTATTTCAATATATTGAATATGTTGATATGTGATTTAAGTCCTTATTGGGTTTTTATTTGTTCATATTGGTTCATTTTTAAAGCAAGTTGACGGGCATGTTTATTTCATGGAGACATGTCATTGCAAATAAGTGTTTTAAAAAAAAAAAACAAGCACTTAAGTCTCACAAATCCTTCATTTATCTTAAGAAATATTAGAAAGTTAAACTTTTTAAAAGAATTTTTTTAATGAGAAAGAGCCGTCATTGTAACTCAATATTACTTTTGAACATCTTTAAGCTAAAAAAAACCCCATACATATACTGTTCGCTCATTCTCATTGTTGATACCCAATAATTTTATTGACATATTTTTTTTTTCCTTTAATTTTTTGTGTGGTGGGGATGGCTTGACAATCTCCTCTCTCACTTGTACTCACTTCTTCAAATATGAACAAAATGGTAAGTCAGGGTGGTCCCTTGATTTTGTTTTACTTCTCTCTTTAATTTTTTTCTTGCCATCCAGCAATTTTCTTTCCATTTTTTTTAGTGTTGGGGCATGAACTTTCTAATAGCCACTAACGTTTAATTATACCTATAGTGCATTTGAAATTTCTTGTTCACATCTATTTTTGTGTGTTTGCTTTAGTTTAGTCTGCGATTCTCTTACAAGCTATTTTTTTTCCATTAAAACTTTATTGGAACTTGATCAATTAAGTTTAAGAACTGCTGGTTAAATATGATTTTTTTTTTAAAATGCAAATAGTTCCTTACTTATGATTATCTTTTCCTATTTTCAAGTTACGATTTTGATTTTGTGGTGAGCTTTATTTCTCCACCACATCCAAATTATTATAAGTACTTTCTATTTGAAGTATTTAATCATACTTCGAATCTATTCTTGTTAACTGTGGGTTTCTTAACCATATCTGGTGTTACTTACATTTAAATCTTAAATAGCTGCAACCTCATAGATACTTGTATTTACTAAACACGTTTTTAAAATTTCACTGGACAAATGAGAATTATTTTTATTTATTAAATCTTTTTGAAATATTTAGAAATGGTAAATATAAATCATAAGAGATTTTAATTTTTATCAAAACTTTATTTTTACACCCACACACAGAAAATAGAAAACAACTTTAAAAAATTGTAAAAAATTTATTATAATGGTTAAATAAATTTTTTCTAAAAGCTGTAACAAATATTATTGACATATCAACAAAATCATTTTGTCTGTAAGCTGTTATGCAATCACTTGAGACGATATAAAACTAATCTAATTTTTCTTATTAGTGAAATTATTCTAGAATTAATTAAAATATGCTCTGTAAATAAAATGTTTATTATGGTATTATAGAAGATTTTGATGTGTCTGCTTGTATCACCACATATTAACTACAGATCTGTATGTCCTGTCAGCAACAAGAAATCCATCAACATCGGTTCTCATTTTAAATCAACTCTTCTTGGTTTTTCGTTATATCAAATCTGCTTGGAACTTTGCCTTCAGCTTTTAAATATAATGTGCCAAAAATGTGAATCTTCATGTCTAAATGAATGGATTTGACATGTGACCACATTGCATGCTATGTAAGATACAAACGCTGCAGATTATTAAGTGTGTGTGTCTAGGCAGCAACTTTGTCCATGCCACTATTATTATAAAAATTGAGGCAGCCTCCATCAACTCTTAAAAGGGGGATGATTTGTGTCACAAGATGGAAAGGGGTGTGAGTTAAGGTCATAAAATTATTTCCTTTTGAACGCTATACAAAGTTCAGAAACTTTTAGACCGTCTTGAGGTTGGGTTTATGGGGCTTCTTTCCTGATTTTTAAATTCTGGTTTAATGAGGGAGTGAACTTGCATTCTTAGTTTGATCATAGATGCCACTTGAAAAATGTTTGTATCATAGAAATAGCACCGTGGAAAATCTAGTTGTTGCTCATTAGAGGTGCCTAATTTTACACATTTATCAACATTTGGGAATAAAACATGTTTTTGAATTTCTATAAAAATTTATTAGAACACAATAAACGGGTCTGTGATTGCGATGGTTGTGACACATATTTTTAAAAAGTAAATCTATTTCAACAGCCTCATAAATAAGTTAATCAGTATAATAGCAATAGATACATTTCTTGGTTACTGTTTAATAATTTAATGGTTTACCTTTATATTAGGTAAGTTATCCTCTACCGACTTGTATTTAGTTTCAGAAAACTGGCAACTTTTTAAAAATTTAAACGTCAATCATGCAATCAGTATTAAATATGTCTCATTTGTTTCTTTCAAACTTTTAAAATATTTTTTATGATTACACTTTACACCAGGTTGCACTTAGACATTATGTCAGTTCTGTTTCCTTCCAGACACATGAAGCAAACATGCATCATTTTTTACATTTCAATATTTAGTTTTAAAAAATTTCAAATTAAATTATTTAATTTCCTTTGTTTGAATTAAGACTGCTCTGCTACCTGGGATAACTAACAACATTTCTCCTACATACTCCACTAAAGGTCTTAATTAATGTATGATATGCTATAGGATTAACCTAGCAAGGGTTTGTACAGGGTTGTAACACATCCTCTTTTTTGTTGAGTGGGTATATTATTAATTAAATTTATTATTGAGAGTGACTAGTTTGAACTAAATCTAAGCATAAGAATTTGATACAATAGTTTACTCATCATTCTTCTATCTCATTTTGAAAGAAAAAGTAATTTTAGCTATGCTAATTACTCTTAAATTGTTAAATTTTGATACCTTTCAAATTTCAATTAAAAATAGTCCTATTGTAATTATTGTCTTACTAATTTTGATATATGTTTTTATTTAAACCTCTTCACATTGTTATAAGCTCTTCAAAACACACTTGCTATTCTTATATAAACACCACCTCTCTTTCACTTATCCAGGTACTTCAACAGGTGCTTGAGCAAAATAAAGAAGTTGATGATGCACATGTTGCTTTAGTTCTTGTGTTTCTGGACTCAGCACGTAATCTCCCTGTAAGTATTGTAGTAGCTAATTTCAATTCTGGCAACCCAAGGAAAAATGTATAACCAATTTTAAAATTATATATATATATATATTAGGGTTTTAAATTTTAATATAAAACTCTATCTTTAATGGATATTTTCAATTTAAAATCATGATTATTTGTTGTTTATAGTAAATTTAAATGATCTCTTAACATTGCATTCCCATCTGTCACTTTTCGTTTAATTTTGACAGCATCCTCCACAAAAGTATGATAATACTAATTCAAATCTTCTCAGTCTTTTAAATCTGTAGACATGAGCTAAAAAACTGAATTATACTTAAGGGGCTTATTCATCTTTAAAAATGCTTTAAAAGCTTTAAAAAAAACTGTTGTTGCTTTATGACCCATAATTAATATTGTATGCCACAGAATAACATTAACTATTGGATATTTTTAAAAAAATATATTCTTTAGGTGGAATAAAATTTTGAATAAAAAATCAAATTTATTTTCCAAGATTTGTTTACATATTTACACACGCTTTATGTTTTTAAAAGGGAACAATTTTTACATACCAGTTATTTATCTTCCATTTATTTATAATTGGAATTAATGGTGTTGTGATTATTTTGAGCTCACTTTGAAATCAATCGCTAGAATCTTTTCACACGTCAAAAAATTGATTGTGGAGGCATTGCATTAATTACTAGTCTTGTTTTTAAAATTCTTAACTGTATGAGCATTTAAAAGATATACCTGGGATTTTTTCATTTAATTCCATAAATTATCTTTTTAATATTTGTTTTCATTTGCTTGCAAAACATTCATGGTGCTTAAAATTTATTATTTCAATATGGTATTTGATTGGATGGAGCAATTAGGAAATATTGAAGGCAATCTGTCATCACTGAAGATCATCAAATAAAGATTTGTAAATACTAATTATTTATTTGTTTGCAATGAAAGAATTCCAACTGCTTCAAAAGATATTTAAAGAAACAAAATAGTTTAGATAGCAAAGTGAAAGAATGGTTTGTTCACAAAACCAGTGGAGAATCATTTACTCCCACTCACCTTTTTTGTGGAAGGCAATGGAAGGGGCCCTGCTCATGATGCATGTCATATGGTGCATTTTGCCGACCAGTTTGAGATGTTTAACAATTCAATTGTTTTTCAAGTTGTTTTAAAATGTCAAAGTGCATGGTCAGGCTAAGAGAAATGATCCAAAACAAAGAAAGTTTAATTGGTGGACAGAAACATGCTTACAGATTCACCAATTTTTATGCATATATAGTTGTTTTTTTATAGAGATATTTTATTGTAAAGCAAATAAAGATTTTTTAAAAAGTATTTTTATTATATTCCATAGCGATATTAAAACGGATATAATATTCTAAATTTCTTTTTTCACAGGCAAAGGTATTAACTTGTAACTGTGGTTTTAATTGCATTTAACATTTACACTTTGTACCTCTGAAATAAATTTAGCAGCATATGTGCTGTTGTAGATGTGTGATTGCTAATATTTAACTTCCTAAACATGTGTGTTCTCATTTGTAGTTCATTGAATTTAAAAAAAAAAAATTTAATCCCCTTTTAATAATTCTCTCATATGAAGTAATAATTGATACCTTGAGAGGACTTTGAATCTGAGTTATGTTTAAAGCATTCAAGCATTTTTCATCTTTATATGGTTGCCCTCCTCATATCAAGAGCACATGAGCTCATATTCTGTTAACAAAGTAGTCACACATCCATGGAACTGATGATGTCCTGAGTTCGTAAGATCTAAATTAGTTATTGGCTTGAAATAAACTAACTTGTTCAAGTCAATTTAACAGACAGTTAACATCTAAAAATGATTAAGTCTTTTAATGTTTAATAACATTATATATTTGACTAGATGCCATGAATATATAGTTACATAGAAACATTAAATCTCCCATTTCTGGGGATGGGAAGCAAAGTTTTTTGTTTTTTTTTAAATTACATTTTTATAGACTTTGCAGTCAATTTTCTTTTAAAAGGTCATTTGTTAATGATAAGGTTCACAGCGTTATATATCAGACAAATGTTTACAACATTCATTATCTCTCCCCGGTCAGGCGCTTCTGTTTCATGCAAGTTCCTGACATCAGTTCTAATAATAAACACTGGCCAGAACAGCAGCACCAATAAAGGTAGACAAAACGGCCACAATTCAATTAGAAAGCAATAATTAAAAAAAAAACTAGGTGGGCGTTAGGCAGGACTGGAATACTAGATAATCCGTTTCTGGCTCAAGGCAGAGTGTGCCGACCTCTGGTCTATATGAAAATGGGGCTGCTAATTTTAAGAATTTGCCACCTGGCCCTCTCTAGTTTTGCCACTGGCCAAGAGCTTTTGTTCAGCTGTTTTCTCTGGTATATATTTACCTTTCATTAATATTTTTGTGTACTGAAATTCTTCCATGCTTCATTGTTAAACAGCTGAGCGAGGATTAAGTTATTTGAGAACACAGGTTTATGAAGATTAAATGAAATTTTTTTTACCATTGCAAAGCTCAATTTTGCTAACATTGCACCAGAATTCTTTGCTGTTTTAGGAGATCTTCCATATTATATTTTCCATCTGCATGTTGACTTTATGCTGCAAGAAAACTTATCTGGTTTTCATATAATTACTAAATACTAATTTTGAAAAATTATTTTATTTCAAAAGAAAGAAAAAAAAGATTTGTTGTGAATTAAATCGTAAAACCATTTTTTTGTGATTCAGGAAGTGTTCACAGTCTTTATCAGTGTCTTTTCCTGCATGTGTTAAATATCGTGATTTATCAGCATGTTTTTTTACAGACTGAAAAAGGCCAAAAATTGGATATGGCTTAGACAAATAAATTTGGGTTTCTTCATCATCAGACTTTCATAGGGGTCAATTACATTTTTGTGCATAAAGTTATTTCTGTTATTACTTGAATTGAATTAAAACAGAGACAATGCTTTTTTGGCGGATTACTTAATGAATGCAAAAATTACCTTAATATTAAACTAGCATGTCATTTTATTATTTTTTAAATTTTACTTTTATTTTTTTCTCAGTTGAATAAAAGTAACAACACTAATAAGTATTTAAAGTTCCATTCTATTAAATTTTATAAATAATTCTAAATTAAAATACATATTTATTTTTATTCCATAATTTTTTTTAATGCCTCTGTTATGTGTTTTTCTTGATTTATCTTTCAAAAGACATGAGTTGTAATACTAAGCACTAAAACTTTTCAATTTTTAACAAAAAACATTTAAAAATTAGTATCAATTTTATTCTCTAGCCTGTGAAATTTCAGGCCTTACAAAATGCACTAAAAGTTCCTTATTAAGTGGTAGCTTAATAAAGGTGAAAGGAAAGCTATTTATCTGTGTGATTTGTTATACATTGAACTTCGTCTGACTTAAAGGTTGCGCTGTTCATGGGTTGAAATGGGATTTAATTGGAGTCAAATAGAAATCATCACTAACCTGCTGAAATGTCTAACAGTGATAGCTGCATATTTACATTGAAAATTTGTTCTGATGGTGAAATGACAGGGCTGGATTTAATTTTTAACATCCTTTAGTTCTAAACATTTCAAGACAGTTAAAAGCTTTGATGACACCTCCTTCAGTAACTAGTTGAATCTATGTAAATATACAAGTCCTGCTGTTGGTATAAAGCTTGTGAGAGTGGAAAGTTATTGATCCTTTTGTATATTTTAATTTTGATACATCTCTGTGCGTGCATGAAAATATCTTTTATTTTAATAAGTTGTAAAATGGCTGCTAAGATCTGGAGGAATTGAAATGTTTAAATGAGGACTTACTGTACATTTAAATGTCTTTTTTGACAAAAGTGATACGGCCTAGAAGAAGATGCCATGTGCTGTAAGCCCTTTTTATAATGTTGAAATTGCTCAGACCAATGTTTTCACAAAATATTCATATACATTGTGATTTCCAACCTATGGTCTTAGAAGATCTGTGTTGAAACATTGAAGTTCCCAAATTGATTAGCTAAATTTAGCTGAATCATCTGCTTTGTACTGAAATTTATTGGCATAGAAATGACCTGCCAAACAATGGCGGTGGCAGCAAGTGAACTTCCCATCTACTAAAGTTACTTGTCAAAACATGCATTAACATAATGCACTTGATAGTATTCGAATTAGTGCTAACTTCTGGGAATTTTATTTTGCACGTCTACATGTATAAGGAACACTATTTAAAAAATTTAGACAGTAATTTCCTGAAAGAGCTGTGTTATTTCTATATTGTTTTTAAAAAAAGTGAACATTTAGTGTAAGGTCAATTTGACTAGACATAATGTGTATTTTCTCTTTTGTCACTGATCTTTGCTACTAACATAACAATATTTCTTGTTTTGACAGTTATATCAAATCTGTACCTTTAAAACCATAAGTATTTTAAAATTATATTTTATGTATAAAAAATTGTGGCTCCGAATGCTGAAATTTATGTTCAAATTGAATAGAATTACACTATAAATTGATTATATTTATATTAACTCAATAAATATATACATTTATAAGTACACATAATCCCTTCAATGTTATTTTGTATACCTTTGATAGAGAATGTTTTCATCTGCAAAGATCATGGGTTATCTGAGCGATGTGCAAACAATTGTTTATATTCCCAATTTAGAAGACTTGCATAAAAAATTATTTATGCTTTGCTAATTTCAGAGAGGGAAAAGGTCCCTCAACGAGCCATCTCCTCAGGTATCACTGACTGTAGGCAATCAGAAGCATGACAGTTCTGTGAAATACAACACAAATGAACCTAAATGGGAGGAGAATTTTCGATTTCTGCTTCGCAATCCTAATTACCAGAACCTGGAATTAGAGGTGTGTATGTTCAGAAAATTGTGGTTGTAACTAAATTTAACATTTAGAATGGATATGTTGCAGTTTTCATTAACAAGGCTCCTATAGATTCTTATAACACACAGTCAAATTGGCTAACATGACTTTATCTATAAATTCTTATAATGTTATGAAGCTATTAAAGTATGTGATAGAAATATAAATAAAAAAACAAGATATTTATGCATGTAATGAGTATGTTTGTTCAAAATACTAGGCAGTAAAATTTGACAGAATTTTTTGGTGTGTATAGTTTATTAAATGGAGTTTTAAAAGCTTTGGTTTCTCAGGTAAAACATTCCTTGCTTCTGTATCCTCAAGTGGTGTGTAGCATATCTGGCAATAGCTGAGAACTGTTTACAGTGGTAGCCACTATTAAGATTTTTACATCATCTTTTTTAAGTTATAAAATTAAACACAAAATGGTTAAAATTTAAAAACATACTTAAATTCTGGCGCCAAAGTTAGTAATTTTCACCTTAAGCTGTTAAAAAGCTAGATAGATACCTTCATTGCTTTTGAGATGTGTGATTACTACCATGTGTTTCCTGGAACAGATCAAGGACACCAAAACTAAGAAACCAATCGGAAGTAAACACATCAAACTGAAAGATCTGCTTGCTGCAGAGGACATGGTCGTGGACCAGAAGTTCCATGTCAAGACATCTGAGCCTGATAGCTACATAAACATGAGGCTTTGTCTCAGGGTAAGATTTGCTACTCCCTTACCTTGCAACTGATGACCATTAAATTTTATCTCAGTCAACCAAAATACCTTGAAATTTATGTATTTATTAAATTTTTTAACAATGAAAAACCTAGCTATAAATTTCCACCTTTAAATGTATTGAGATTTTTTTTTACAGATCTTGAGTCCAAATGCAAACCCTGAATGGACAAATAATGATATTTTACTCGATGATAAAACCAAGGACTTGAAAAAAGAAGAGGGATCATCCGTGGATAGTCCACAGAAATCGTACTGTACGGATAGGACAAAACCATGTTTTTCAGTCAGTTCAGATGAAACCCAAGAAGGAACTAAGGTTAGTCATTCTTTTCAGAAGGATATTTTGTCATGTCAGGAAACTGACCTTAGTTTTGTCAAGCCTTGTGACAAGTACTCTGACACTAGCGCCCTTTCATTGTGTTGGTTCAAGTCAAAAGATCATGTCTTTTTTTTGTTGACATTTGTGTCCATTCACCATAGTTCAACTGAAACAAACCAAGGCTTCAAGTATCTAATGGGGTAATCTCGTCAATTGATTTCATTGTATGTTGCACTGTTTGCCTCTATGAATTACATGATTGTTCTGACTAGAAGACCCAGCTATCAATGTGTTTTGTGAGTCGGATGTCACTGAAATCATTATATGTAAAGTGTGATTTATTCGACTTCTATTTTATGACTGGCTTAATAAACTTGATCCTAACATTTTTAATCTTTTAGCAGCAGAGAAAACTTAAGCCATATCTCTGTTACAGTAAGTCATGGACAGCATGAACAAAACCCTTTAAATAAATATTTTTATTACCTTTTTGTCATTTACTTCTATGTTAAAAAGTCTAACCTCTGTGCCTTGACCTGCTCATGGAGCATTCTGTCCATTATGCCTGAAATATACAGTATCACACTTCATTTTTCCTATATCCCAAACTGTCATCAATCACTTACCCCTCATTCTGGATATTTGATTTCTCAAAACAATAGCATGATATTCTCTAGATTTATCAATCACTAGAATTCTCGAATGTTTTTAAGTAAGCTTTTTCAATTATACTGGAAACAGTAAAAAAAAAAAGTTTCAACAGAACCTAACGTAAACAAATAGATTTTGTGATGATATATTTTTGTGGGTATAAAATTAAGTAGAAATGATGTTTTTGAATTATTGTTTGGATGTAGATGTTTAGCTTCAGAAAGGCGACTCTTATTGCCTTTCTAACATTTATTGCTTTACTCTTTTCATAATGGGCAATTATCATTTACAGGAAGACTTTCATGAACAATTTTTGCTAAAATGTGCATTTCTTAAAGCCAATTGTTTTAGTCAACTTTCCTCTTTCAAGTCAATGGCATATCCAGGAATTAGACACCAGGGAAAATGGGACTACTTTTATTTTGCATAAAATTTATGAAGCTTGAAAGCAATTTTTTTATAGCATTATATATTTATTGGTTATCTATCTCTTATTTAAAATATGATATTTTTGTGCAAAGAGAATATTATTAAGCTCTCTATATAATGAGGACGCTTTGTTCATTGAGCTCCTTATATAATCAGGATGCTTTGTCCATTGAGCTCCCTATATAATGAAGATGCTTTGTCCATTGAGCTCCCTATATAATGAAGATGCTTTGTCCATTGAGCTCCCTATATAATAAGGACTCTTTGTCCATTGACTGTTGATTTTAGTGTCCTTTTTTCTATTGTTTGATATTCCATTGGAAAATTTGAATATATATTGATATTTTTTGTTATCAAATAAATGTATGATTTAAGAACATGTCATCCCTTTGTGAAAAATTGTAACAATCATCAACTTTGTCATTTAGGTTTCCTTAAGCTATTTAATAGTTTGAAAAGTTTATAAATAATATTGAAAACCAATAATTCAATAGCGATAATGTAAAAAATTTTACTAGGGATAATGTTTTAGAACATTTATGAATAATATTTGACATCTACTCATCCTTTTCAGAAGTATTGGTGCTTCAGTTCATTTTGTAGTTGGGTTTATAACTTCTATTGTGGGAAAGATAAGATTCCAGCAGGTGAGCCGGCCTGAATCATATCAATTGTTGACTATTTGTAGCAAAGAAAACTTGAAGTTCATTTCTTTGATTGGTTTCCACCATAACTGTTGCCTTGCTTTGTTAAAGGCATCCAAACAATTTTTCTGTTCTGTTCAATATTGTTATTCTCATTGAACCTTTTGTACAACAAATGCAGATCATTTGTATTTTGAATGAATTACATAACAATTTGAAACATCAATGGGGGGGGGGGGGGGGGGGGGGGGGGGGGAGAAAAAAAAAAAAAATAAAATATTTTGTAAAGTGCATTTACTTGAAATTAGCGTTCTTTAAAGGCTCTGAATTGTGGATTGTCTAAAATTTGTAATTTATGAATCATTTATAAATCATATACAACACTGATGGGAAAATACATTATTTCTACTTAATGGCTTCATTTAACATAATTAATTGTGGTACATTGTGTCATTTAAAAACTTGTTAGTTCCTGTAATTTCTTACCATTACATATAGGCTAGATTAAGTATTGATACCTTTCTCATCTTTGTTCCATATGACCTTAATAGTGTTATTATTATTATTAGTTTGAAATTAAACCTTAGAATCCTATTATTGATTTTAAATTAATATTACTGGCTACATATTTTTATAGGATTTCAATCCTGTGTTGCGAAAAGATAGGCCTGATCTGTATTTTATAGCATTATTAAAATTGTCATAAAAAGTACATTTCAATACTCTATCCTGTGTAGTAATTTATTGGGATTGGCAAATATTCCCTTAAAAACACAATGGGTCACCATTTCATGGATATTAATACACATCCGTTATAGAGATGTATCAATGTAAGCAATGGCCTAGCAACACACACACCAAATCAGTTCACACCACACACCTTTGTTTTAACTCTTACTTGAATTGAAGTTGTTAAATATAAATTCATGTAGGTACTAATGAAACAAAAGTAAGTTTAAAATTCATTGACATTTATAGTTTTAAATTTGTATTTAAGACAGAATTTTCTGTTTAGCTATGTATTCTGTCAGAACTTGATGATTACAAAAAAAAAAAAAGACTATTCAGTTTTTATATTGTTTTATTTTTTCATGGAAAAATTACAGTTATTAGATCAATACTCTTGTGTGACCATTGTTGATTTCCATTGGCATTTTTCTAGATGAATTTCTTATAAGAAAAGATGACAAAATTCAACTGTATATTAATTTCTTAGGTTGGACTCAAAACTAATTTCCTCTATATTGGAGATAAAATGAAAAAAAAAAAATTAATGCCTTTGTGTGGCTGGTTTGATTACATTTTCTTCTACACTAAACTAGCTACACTTAATTTAAAACAACTTTTCTGCTAAATTTTATTAGTAACTTTATGATTTCTTTATTTTGGGTTAATACATTTAGTTGTGTTTCGAGTAATGGAGTTTGCATGAAATTTTTTTTCATTTAAAGATGTGTTTTGATTTTAGTGGGGTTTTATGTCACCCTGACAATCACTTACACTGAATGGATCGTTGCCAAACGGAAGGCAAATCCTGGGAATTTTTGAAAGTCAAAAGTAGGAGAAGCCTGAGGTCATCTAAGTTCAAGAAGTACATTTTATAGATTAAAATATTAGTGGGGCTATACAGCTTTTATTATTAAAAAATAAAATCCATAGTTATTTGTTTAAGTTAAGCTGCCTGACATCTGACTTTATTGGAGATGTTAAGTAGGTTTTTAAAAGTCTATACTTAATTAATTAATTGGCTTGATTATATATATTAAGTTTCTTCCAGTATTGCTATTGGAGATCTTTCTTTATAAACATTTAACATTATGGTTAAAGATTTGTTAATAATGATTCTAGAAGAACATTTAGTGCTGTATTACACAAAAATGTCTAGTGGTTTGAACAGGACAGCAGAGGCTCAGAAAATATTGGATTTATATAGGAAAAAATGCCCTCACAACAAGACAAATGTTGCTGGTTTGACAATAATATGGATGATTGCTTAAAATGATAATTTTGTTTTCAATTACAGATTCAGAAAATCTCTTCCAAAATGCCCTAAGAAAATTAATTCAAGAAGAACTATAAGGCAACTTGGCTCACCAGATCAGTTAGTTGTGTCACAAAATCCTTACTCTTATACTCTTTTTGGAAACTTTTATCCAAAATTCAGGCTTGTTGAATTATAAAGTCAGTGATCATCTTTTGTGTAAATGTGGAAAAAAAAAAATTCATTTTTCATTAAATACTTACATGATAAATTATAGAAATATTAATGAACTACTCTTTAAAATTGTATATATGGATAAAAAAGTGGACTACTTTGGTCTCAACTCTGTTATTGATATAAATAAAATTATCTATATAGATAAAACAGTGGATTGCTACGTTCTCACTCTCTGTTTTTGATATAAATAATTGCATTATATTCATGGAATCTCACTGATATTTTTTTAAAGCACAAATGACCCTGACGATGATTGTGTACTGTGCTATGTAGATATAATGTCTCCCAGTTACTGTGTATCATCTTAAGGCTTGGGCTGTTTGCAATAAACTATTTGAGTTATTAAACCTCAGATCAAGATACTTATACCTTCTTATCACTGTTCACTATTACTTATTATTATTTGGTTATGGTTTTAACTGTTTTTAAAAGAAATTTTATATTTTTAATTTTTTTCCCCCATTGTGCCTCAGTTTTCCAGATTTTAAGCATTCAAATATTTTCATATCTTGATTCTAAGTAGTCATCCAACCATAAGTAAAATTAAGATTTGTTTTTAAAATCATTTTATTGTCAAGCTGTCACAACTTTTTCAAGAATTGAATTCTTATACATGAAATGGATGTAATACTTTTTTTTCTAGGGTCATATTTCAAATAATAAAAAAAATTATTTAAAAAAAAAATGGGGTAGTAAATAATATTGACCATTAAAGTATTTTTAAAAACATCAAGTTATTATAACAGTAGTTGTTTTACTTTTCATATTCCTGAACACAACAAAACTTCAGTCATAAGCAAACCACTAGAATTAAATCACCTTTGCCATAATTCCCACTACTACTACTAGCATTGAATTCCAGAATCATGAATGGAAAAAAAATATTAATTTAAACACACGTTTCTTTTCAGTTAATAGTCATTGCTGTTACTACATGTTATCACATTTTCTTAAAACAATTTCTTCACCCGAGATTAAAATTTGAATTTACATATTTTATGATTGTTTCATTTGTGTTTAAATGAATTTTTACCTATATCCTTATTCATGTTTTTATTTATAAACCTACTGACAGTGTTATTTCAGAAATTATTTTATTCCCATTTCTATCTTCGCATAGTTTTGTTGTTCAACCTGTCTGGTTGAACAGTGTTCTCTTTAAATTGTAGTTATGTAGATGATTACTTTTAAAATTCTTAAAATGTATCATTATCATAATTAATGTTCCATGCAAGTAATTGTGATTTTATTATCTGGTAAAAGCCAAATTCTTTGGTCCACTTAGCTGCTTCCTATTCCACCGCTTTCCATAGCCCTTGGGGTCTATTAGACCTTATAAGGGCTTGTGGGTTTTAACTTAAACTAACAAATAATATTATTTAGAAAGAACTTTAATGAATGTTATTTCCTAATGATAAAAATAATCAACATGGAGTATTTCTAGCACACTGTGAGGCCTCTAAAACAATAGTTGTGAGAATTTTAATATTTAGGAGCATGAGTTCCTTCTTATTTGTAACAAGTTTTTTTTTCTTCTCTCCTTCAATTATAATTTACAATTTGAGAAAAGATCACCTGAAAAACATCAATGCAACCAAGTTATACATATTTAATTTTTTTTTTTATCTAGAGCCCACAAGACTCCAATGGCATACCAAAGCCAACAGATGCCAATGGTCCATTGGAAGCAGATGTTGTCCCAGTAATGGCCAGCTCACAGGAAAGTGGAGTCAGACTAAGGAAATCTCCAAGGTAAATTTTGGAGGGGCTTTACCTCTAGAAATTTCCCCATCAATCCTTGTCATTGTGACCCATGACCTCACAATGACACCACATTAAGGAAGCCTTACATATCCCCTCCTTGTCTTAATTAATTAAATTTTTTAAAAACTTAAAACAGGCATTAATTTAACTGTCATTGTTTTCATATTCTGATAGCAATGGGGCGGGTAACTTTGGACTTGGACGCCTACAAATGACTTTTAGATACAGTCTTCAGAGAGAGAGACTGATCATTGTGGTCCACAAGTGCTCGTAAGTTTGCTTTCTCTAGGACTTGTGAAATAATTCTACTCTTTTTTCAGATCTGTATTTAATTTTATGTCTCACATTTAAAGTGGTATATTTTGGGTGGGACTGACCAGAGTTCTCATTCTTCTCATTTCAAGAATATACCGACAATTTTATAGAATCTATAGGTGCATCAGCAGAGCCGAAATACCAGTAGTTGTTTTAGCAACTTGGGGGAAAGTCAATACTCTAAGTGGTTAATCTTATACATAAGAAACCTTACTAAACTACTCTGTCGAGTATGAGCGTTCATTAGTAATTGTTAATATTCAGTCGCAACTAATGAACATAATATTCAGTCGCATGTTCATTAGTTGTTGAATGCTTTTCCCCACACTTGACTCTTATAGTTAGTGAACGCTCTTCCCGCCATTGTCTCTATGACGTATTTTTATGCTGATTCGTGACGTATTGTCTATGCAGTATTGTGACGTATGTTTTAGTCGTGCGGTAGTCTTGAGTGGAACTTTGGAGTGATAGGATGTGTATTATTTAGGTCTGATAGCTAGCTGCGCTATATTCACGTGTTATGTGTATCATATTTACTTAGACATTAAAGTTATAATTATTATGAAAAGGAGTTGAGTTTGTTCAATGATAGGAGGAAATAGTACGACACATTCAACGTGTGAAAAGAACTTGACGAATGTAATCAATCCAAGAAGACTGTTGGAGTTGACATACTCTAATTTTGAACTTTCAGGCAAGAGTTCAATTATAACCTTGGTTCAAATGGCCATCAATCACAGATCCTTCAAACAGAACAGACCACTTGTTCCATATTTTTCTTGCACAAGAATGAGCGTCTCACATGTTATTGGTCATTTAGCAACAGACAAATATTACAGCAGTTATATTTTGAGTACATGCAATTTTTTTCAATGTTGAACAGATTAAAATTAAGAAACTCTAAGGGGGGCCAATGACTAAAATCATAGCCTGTTGTTGACAGTGGTTCAAGTGTTCATTTAAGATAGTTGAGATTTAAGATCTTTTCTTTGTTCACCTGGGATCTGGTTCAGTGGTCTTCTAAGATCCTGAAAAAGAAAAGGCCAACCCTTCTAAATGGTTCAAATCTTGGCCTAAATTTTAGGAAAGTGTTCAGCAGAAGACTCAACCGAACACAAATTCACACATTATAGTATTCTAACTATTGAAAATTTATTTTCAGTAATCTTAAACCTGCACCAGGAGACAGCAAAAACATGGCAGATCCATATGTGAAACTATATCTGCTGCCTGACAAGTCAAGCTCGGCAAAGAAGAGAACAAAAGTTATTAAAGATAATCTGAATCCTGTTTTTGATGAAACGTATGTAATGTACTTATCTGCATATGAAGCAACACTTTTGGGTAGTTACCATGCTGCTTTTAATGGCATTATTTTATCTTTAGTGAAATCAATGTCCTTTTCTGAAAATTGTATTCCCTCATTTAATGGTATTTATTATAATTTACATGATAAGTCACATAGATTCGTTCTGCTTTCTTAAAGTACTATTATAATCTTCTATACCCCGAGAAAATGCGTCTGTGCTTTTTTCATGTGGATATCTATTTGTTGCTTTTCCTCTCAGATTTGAATATCCAGTTTCCCAACAAGAAATAGTCAAACGAACCTTGGAGGTGACGGTGAAAAATGAAGTGGGCATATTCTCATCATCTGAAACAATGATGGGGAAAATTTTGCTTGACCTTTCAACTATGGATGTCAGCAAAGCTATCACTGAATGGTAAAATTTAGTTTTGATCAACCAAACTTTTTTGGGAGCCACACACATTACATAAACTCTCTGTAATATTTATGAAGTCTCCATTGAAAGGGTTCATCTATGTTTTCAAGGTGCTAGTTTTTTACTTGATTGGTTTAATAGGCATGCAGTTTGGTTGTTGGAGCACTTGTCTGGTGTGAGATTCATGGAATAAAAAGATCCTTTTATACAGTGGCGATGTGCTAGCTGTCTTTATAGTGTTAAGTTAGGTGAAGATAAATTTTAGCCAAAATATTTTGGCTAAAATATTCTTTTAATTTTTTTTGTTGTGAATAAACTTTACCTTACAGATGTATGCTAATGGTTTGTTTCATTTAATTTAGCTTCACCCTAGTCCTTTTCTAATCTATTTGACAAAATGTTCCAGCCATTTTATTATGAAAAAATATCACACCAGTGGTCATATAATATTCCTTTTTTTATTCTAAAGGTTTGATCTGGCTCCAGAAAATCAAGCCAAGCCACTCTCATTTGAATCAGATGTCTAAAGGGTAGCATCCCTTGAAGAAGAAAAAACAACTGAATAGTTGTTATTTTTTTAAATTATCATTTATTTAAGCATTATTTATATATTGTATGCTTTTAGAGCATTTTGTACAAGTATTTTTCCACTCAAATATATTTGTATTCATGCAGAATGCTAATGTACATCGTTGAGGAGTAGTTTTTATGGTGGCTAGAAGAAAAATGCATATCCATTTTATTTTCATAACACTGCCCCATGGTCAAAATTTGTTTTGTACGATTATTTTCTAGTCTGTTGTATCAGCTCTTTGTCCATATCATAAGCCTCAGTAAATTTATTGATAATTGAACACTGTCTTTCTCCTCTTCACCCTCATGTGTTGAAATTAAAACTCTCCACAATTCATTTTTTTTTTAAAAATCTTCGTAATTCAGTTATTAGTAATGTGATTAATAATATCTGAAAGATAAACAAATTCTGTTTAATGTACACATTTTTTGTTAAAAAATTCAGTATAGGAAATATTTTATAGAAAGAAGCACAAAATATTTCAGAGTTCTGGTTGAGATGTAATAATTAAGTTAATAACTTCTTTGTTGAGAAAACTCAGATGAAAACCTCTATTACCCAAAAATTAGATTTTTTTTGTTTTTCATTTGGAAAAAAAGTGTTGTTTCTAATTAAGGTTATTATATTCTGCTCAATTTCTCTTGACAAACTTTGTCTTATATTATTTATTTTTACATCAACCTTTTCATGGAATGAAGTGGTTAATTTAATTTTAGTAAATTTGTGTCTAATTTATGGAGTTGTTTCTCAGGGACTTTTAATGTCCTTTTATAACCATAACACCAAAGTGTCATTTTAATTTGGCTCACCTGCAGATTTAAATATTTTTTTTTTTTACAATTTTCCAGAGTTTGAAAATGTTATCTTTTCTGAAAAAAATTCTGTTTTGCTATGAGGTGAAATAAAAATCAATGTATATTTCCTAACATGCTCTGTACACCTGTCACAGTCAGATCAATGAAAAAACCATAAAACAGACAATTATGAAAGAAAACAGAAACTACAATCAAGTTGTAAATGTTTTTGTTTTTTTCAATAGCAAATGAAACAAAATGTAAATTTTAAAAAAATCTGGTTTTGTTGTAATGATTCCAGGTTGGGAAACACTGCAATAGAGGTAAAGTGATCACTATAGTATTCTTGATTGTGCAATCTGTGTCCATGTCTGCAGGCTGATCAACTGTAGTTCTATCTGTCCTACTTGGGACTGTGTCATTACTGAACACGGTGTTATTCTGTTTCTAATATTCAGCAGCAATGGAAACTCATGGAGCCAACAGCTGATTATGTCAGTTAATGTTGGGTCGGACCATGCATCTATTCTACAAGCCAAGGGAACTTGAACAAGTAACAAAAGGATCCCACTTTATTATATTCATTGTTTCTTTCCCGCAGCGTCTGAAATTTATTTATGCAAAGAATATTTAAGGGGATGCACTTTCTCCTAACTTACCAAACCCCCACCCAATCACCTCTCTTTGTAGAAAATAACAATTAAAGAAAACCTTATCATTTCATAATGAACCAAACCTTTCATATTTTTTTTTTGGAACCCCCACTTGATTCAAATATATCTATATTGTCTCAAAATTATAATAATATAAATGAAACACATTTAATTAAGTGTTGGTCTAAGGTTGCATTAGGAATATTTGACCTAATAATCACTTATAATTCATTGATGTTGAGGACCATTAAAGTCATTTAAGTGTTGTTTCCTTTCTCTTCTACCCCCCCCCCCCCCCCTATATTCTGAAGTAGGGTGCTGAAACAATATTTATGTCTAGCTATTTAGTAACTGTATTTACATTTAACTTTACATGCAGAGACTATCCATTTTATATGTGAACACTTGTGCACTTTATGAGAGTATATTTATTCCTTTTAAAATCTTCATGTTGTCTCCAACCTGCTGACTTAGTCTTTCAAATAAATTTATTCGGTCTATTTTCTTATGTTGTATGATAAAGCTACATTCTTTGAACGTCATATCTATCAGAATTACTCAACCTGCTCCTAAGAGAGCCCCTATGTTTTAAGGTACCTGATATTATGTTATGCACAGTTGGCTTCAAATGGTGCGTTACACATCGAACTGGCCACATCTTGTGGTAAATGTTACTATATCCTCAAATTTTTATTTATAAAAAAATGTTACAAAAATTCAATGCATCTCTAGTATTTAAAGTTTTAATGGTCTGCTGCCATTAAGAAAGATATCAAGAGTTTCACTTAACAGTCTAGAATAGATAAATTATGTATCATCATATGAATTTTTTTTCCCCCAATACAAATTGAACACTATTTTCAGAACTTGATTTAATGACAATTTTATGCTTAACAAATCAGTAAGTGATTTCAAATTGTTAATGATTAAAAAAAAATATTGGAATAAATTTAATACAAAGGAGAGATTAATTCCAATCATTAACTATACAATAAGTATAATTCATTAATGCATTGTGGAGCTGATTTACCAGTGTTGGTTATCAAACAATTTTGCACTAATGTTGAAGCCAAGATACTTTCATTCTCACTTTGGATACTCAAAACTTTATCTTTACTGTTTTTTTACCCAATATATTGTCAGTGCTGGTATAAATTTGTATCGATTGCAATTGCTTATATCTCTTTCTTACAGCATATGGTGAAGTGTCTATACATTTTAAAAAAACACTTTTTTTCATAGCGAATAGTATTTTTAAAGTATTTTTTATTATACCATTAACTGCTTTCTGAATTGTTCGTTTGAATATAGATTTTTATATAAGATAAACATGGGGTGAGTGTTGATTTAAACAACAATTTCCATATAGGAAAGTTTTTACCTTAAGATATCGAACTTGATTTCATTTTAATCTTGTTAAATAAAATATATTTATTGATGTGAATTGGAAGCTAGTTTTTAAAAATTATATTTGGAATTTCAGAGCTGTTGTGAAAAGAAGATATTTCTCTGAATAATCTCATCTATACAGTTTTACAAGAATACTCTATTCAAATACTCATGTTTAATTTTAACCTACAAATGTATCCATTGTTAAAACCTAGCTTAGCCCTTTTTTACAATTATGTGGTTTTGGATTTGTATTTTTTTAATTTGTAATCAACATTAATCATTTAAATATAGCCAATGGGTATTTCTTAAGCTTGTCATTCTGAATATGTAGCCTTAAAATCTATATATTTTACCTATTACTATTAATATTAAGAGTAGCAATTTTGTAACATTAAGTTAGTTTTAACTCATACAAAAAAATTTGTGAATTAAAATCAAATTATATTTTATTCTTTTTGGTTTGTTAACTGATTTGTATTTTTGATCACTGAGAAGTAGTTTAATAGTAAATTTTAACAAATGTAATTTTTTTTTTTTTTAACAAAAGATGAGAAAAAATTAATAAATAGGAAAATAAAAGGTTAAATAGCACCATTTTCCTGTCCGTGCAATATTAAAAAATATTCTTAAAATTGACAAGCACATGAAAGAAGTCCTTTGTTTTATTACATTGACTTAGATTGTAACAATTGTTTTTATATTTCAAACCAACTTCTGAGATGCATTTGAATCAATAGAATAATACAAAATAACCACATCAAATTAAATTAACTCAAATTAAACTTGTTTGGTGCCAAGTAAAAGTTTTTCAAATTAGCTTGTAATATATTTGATACATTTTTTTAAAATTCTGTCTCCGACCATCCTGTCTTTGGCACAAATGGTTTTATCAACAAATCCACAAGAGGAAATTGTAAGTTGTGACTTTTTTCACTGGAAGATGTAACCATTTAGCTTTATTAAAGATTTTAAATGCTTACTTTTTTTCTCTTAACACTTCTGTTAGTCCTTACATGAGTATCTGTAAATGTGTGCATAAAAATTTTAATTTCTCATGAAAGTTTTCAGCGATTTTATTTTTGTGATATCTTAAGTTCATCTGGGGCAGTGTTCCCCAAACGGTGGACCGGCCCCGGTCCGCAAGCCTTACGTTACCGGTCCAGAGAGCATGAATATTGATGTTTAAATAGAAAGAAAATGTAATTAATAAATCTGGCACCGGTTCCTGGTGCAGTTTCGAAACTTGTCCACCGGTCCGTGAAACTTAAAAGTTTGGGAAACGATCTAGGGGTAAAAGGAAAGCAATTAAAAAGTAAAAATATTAGACATCCTGAAGGTGACAGATCTAATTACCTATCGTTAAAAAATTTCCACTGAATGAAAATAATATATTTAGCCCTTTACGCTTACATATATGGAGAACAAATTTAAGATGAATAATTTCAAAAGTGGAGTTACATCAAAACTCACCCATTGCAGTTGTGATAGATTACAAGTTACCAAATATTTTATTTTGATTATGCTGAGAGAACAAACAGAGAGAAAGAACCCCACCATAAATATTTCAAGTGTCATTTCTTTAAATTGTTATCTAGTTGCATCATGACACTCCTCCCCCAAAGCTATACATGCCCATTATGGAGATCCTTGACTTATCGCTACTCTGACGTAGCTATTTGCATGTGTCTTACAGATGAAATAGTGATATGTGAGCTTTACAAAATGAATCGCAGAAGTTTGCATTATTATGACAGAACATTTCACTCTTAGAAAAAAAGGTTAGCAAACACTGATAGTTCAATCTTTTATTTATTTCTTAAGTTAAACAATTTTCTCAACACAGGACTTAGTATACATACTGTTGATTTATTCACTGAGCAAATTTCTACTGTGTAATAAATCTGTATTACATGGAGGTACCATCAGGTAATTCAGAATATTAGAAGAACAATTTTGCTCAGGAAGAAATGATATCCCAACACAAAGAATTTCTGAAACATCACATACATGTATTTTATATTAAGATGCTAAGAGAACCAACAGCAATGAAGCAATACAAGCAAAAGACAACCAAATTTTTATTGTTCAAATAAATCTCATCATTTTAGAAAAATTAAAATAAATTCCTGGTTGAAAATTTCCTGTAAAGCTCCATTTCTTGTTTAAAAAAAAATAGTAATAATAAAATTGTTGAAAAACACCATTAACTTCAAGAAAAATAGCAAAAAAGTTAATTTTTTAAATATATCTTAAAGGCATTGAAATTATTGATAGAGGTACAGAGTCTACAAAATTCCAAATTTGACCATACAAAAAGAAATTTATTTATTTCACATTACACCTTTAAAAACAAAAGACCTACCAAAAAAAATTCACAAACATTTGAAATAAAAAAGGATGATCTAAACAAACCAATGCTTTTTGTTTCTACACAGATGTTCACCGCAACTTTTCCTATTTAAAAAATACTCAATTGCACCTGACTGTAATTTTTCTACCTAGCACATAACTCACATTTTAATTTTTTAAAATACCAGCAATGAGCAAGCACAACACTTCCCTACCAGTTTCCTGCAGTGTACATTAAGTGGAAAATGGATAAACAGAAGCCAAATAGGGTTAAAATTATGTACCCACTATACACACCACACTGATGGGGAAGATGAGCCATCATGTTCACTGGTTTTACTAACATCAAAGAACTATGCACTTCAGTTACATACAAACATTGACGATAAGACCTAAATGAATACACATAAGTGTAGGTTGTGAATATAAACATTAAAGATCAAGAAATTTTATCAATGCTTTAAATATTGGTATATATCTTTCCCAGGGCAGATTTTGTTTTCCCCCATACAAATTATCAACTTAAGTAATCCCATTCAACAAATGTAACCCTTTTTTTTTTTGCCTACCGGTACCTTTAATTAAGTGAGCTCGATCAGAATAATTTGATATATTACTTGGTCAATCTTTTTAATACTGAAGTACATTTTGCTTTAAAAATCTCAACAATTTTCAAACAGCAATTTCTAAACAGAAATAAGCTTCTGCAACTTCATTTCTTCTTTACAAAAATGATTCATATTACATAATTTTATTTCAGCTATGATAAAATAGTTTTAAAAAAAGAAGCAAAATATATCTGATATCCCAATTTAAATGTATCTATTTGTAAGGCCTTTTTATATTAAAAAAAAAAGACTAGTAAAGGCATGCTTAAGGTTAAACTTTTTGTGTAAAACCTCTTACAAATTCAGGGAGTTCTTTTTCTAAAATTAAACAACTCACTGCCCAAGACATTTCATCAGCAACTGTTAGTAATTGAAATTTTATTACAGCCCCCTCGTGTAATTTGAACAAATTGATTGCTCTGAGCCTTCAATGAACTCAGCAAGAGTGTTTTGTAAAAAAAGAGATGGATGCAGATTGAGAAAATTGGACCATGCCCGTTTGCAATGATGGTATGAATTACATGAAAGACAAACTAGTCTGTATCATTCAACATGCACGGAAAATGGGCCCAAAAATTTAAGGTGATCACATATTTACTGTCAAACACTTAACATGAAAGTATTAGATGAGTGCAGCACTTCAATAACTGGAACAATGTTTGGTGAACGATCCAGTTCAAATATTGTCTATATTGGGTTGATGGTGATTCAAGTTTACATCAAGCAATGGAATTGTTCAGAAAGCATTCATTAACCCTTTACACAACTTCAGATTTGGAAGGTTATGGAAGATAATTGACAATGCATCTTAAATTTATAGATATACCATAGAATCCCTTTTGCTTAATTACAAGAATTTTCACAGATACAACTGATATTTAGATGGAGAGATTCTCAGTATTAAATTGAATTTAAGTATGTTTAAATTTTTTCAAGATAATTTCATTTTCAACTACCGGGTATCCTAAATATCACAAGTTATAAGGTGTTAATTTAATGACTTGCCCCATTACATCCTAACACTGAATTTCCTTCACACTTCATTACAACCACAAGTATTCTTGTAAGTAAATATATATATGTATGAATTAGTGACTGCTCTGCTTAAGTCTCCATTAGCAATATGCCCCAAATTTTCCACAGCAACTTTGTAGATCAAGGGCTTGATTTATTAGGCTTACACAGTGGACTTTCAAAACAAAGAACATATTTCTAAAGGGAATATGATAACTCATAAAAAATAGGTTTTCCTTCATTCATCTTTATTCTCTATTAACCATACAAAACTGTTGACAAGTTAAAGGGAATGACAAAGGCAGAGAGAGAACATAAGAAATGCCATTGAAGCAATTACTCATGCTTGGAAATCAAGACCTGATTTAAGAACTTAATTCAAGAGCTTACTGTTAATCAATAAACATTTTGAAGTAAAATGTTTACTTTAATATACTGGTTTAATTTCTTTCTTCTCTAGACAAATGTGCTCCAATATAATTTTTTAAAAATTTGACGATGTCATTATGCCAGTTAAAAAAGTCTCATGCTTATTTCAAGATGGCCACTAGGTCAATTTTCATTAGAGAACAAGCACACTGAATCATTTTTTTGTTGTTACATGTTTGTCTAATTATACTTTCATCAATCTTGCAATGCTGAAAATTTGTTTTCCAATGTCAAGTTGATTCCTCTTCTTTGATGTGGGTTCTCCATGAGGTCTGATGAGACTGAACTACTATACTGTTGGCTGAAGAGAGAGGTATCAAACAGTTGATTGCATTATTAAAGAGGTCTAAAGAATGACTACAATTTAGTACATCTCATATGTTTTCTTTTAAAAAATCAAATGCAATGAATGAATCCACAATCCACATTATAAATAAAAAAATTTTAAGAGAATTGATTTTAATACTGGTATTCGTTTTTAGTTATACTTTTCAGTTAAACATAAAATGTAGCGTCCTTATTAAATCACAATAATAAGGATAGTGTTTTTAACTGGATGAGAAATAACTAGGAGTGAAAAATGCATTTGTTCGATTTAATTGTCTTCATGTAACAAGCCCATCCTTTCTCAGGTGTCGCATGTCTTTAGTAATAGATCATTTTAAAAAAATGTTTATGAATTTATTCCAGTAGCTATGTTTAACTGGTAAGACTATAGCAATATTCCATAGACAAGCGATTTTTAATCCCACATCAAGTTGGATGCTATCTTCAGCATTTTACAGTTGCGTTTTTTTTTCCATTAGGTTTACCCCCTCCTTGAGAATAGTTGACTTACTTGGCTAGAGAACCCAGATGATTCAAACCTGTTAATTCTTAGTAGAGAGGCAGTCAACTTAACTATTTTGCTATAGGGCATACAAACGATCTAAAAATTGCAATAACCTTTTTCCAGGTGCTGGCCCGCCTCCTAAAGTGGGGAAATCTTCTTCGCTATTCACATTTGGCGCCTCTTTTTTCTTCCGAGATGCTGGGAAACTAGATGTGCTATTAGCAGACTGAGCTGCATGTCTTTGAGCAGGAGGTACATATTTGGCTGGAGCTTTGGCTACTGACTCATCTTTATCATGATCTGAATGATGCACTTGTGGTAAATTGGGAGCTGTGGAAGCATATAGATTAAAGTTATGGGAGGAAAAAAAATTAAAACCAGTATTCCTGGGGTGAGGGTTTTACTTACATAGGCTGCAAATGTCTGAAAATATTCATTTAGATAATTATGAGGAATGAGCAGCATCCAACTACCATCAAACTTATTATTATTGATATCAATTTACAGGACCCAAACATACAACATAACCCAGCTTACATAACATTTGAATGCAGAAAGAAGGAGAAATATTTATCATCAATTGGTGCTAACTTACCCGCTGTTTGGGGCATATTAGATTTATTCCAAGGTCCTGATGCTCCGTCTCTCCTGTCTCTGTTATCACCATCTTCATCATCTCTACTATCATCCCCTTCAGCACCATCTCTGTCTTCTTGTTCTTTACTGGAAGAAATAAATAAATTAAAGTGCTATGTATCAACTAAGACAAATACAAAACAAATAACATTAAGTAATTGAATTATTTTTTCATCATAACACAATATCAGTGTTATATATGTATAGTTTATCTTTTTAAGCTATGATGAGCATTAAAGATTTTGTTGTTCTTTGATTTGTATTAAAACTTACGCAATCTGCAATGTTTGAATTCGAAGACCTGAGTAATCCTTTTCTTTTTCCTCTTCAAAATCTTTCCATTCCTCATCTTCCTGTAATAATAAGATTCAACGTCAACAACTCTTATTTAACCTTCAAAAAATTAATAAGTCAAATCACACAAAGAAAACCTTAATGCACTACAACTTTCAAAAAAATTAATAATTTTAGCCTTATAGTCTTCAATTTAGTTCAACTTATTAGATTAGTGTGGTTAAAGCAACATATACATAAAATTTGACTTTAAATGTTGTACGAAATCTATGTTACTTGACACCCTAAAATCTATTTGAAATGGTAAAACCTTTTGGCTGATTAGGGGGAAAAGTTAACCAAAATGTGGTAGTCTTTTAAATCCACCCTGAATTTTTTAGACTTTTTGTCTTGACTAAAATAAGCCATTAAGGATATTACTCTTAGGTAAATTAAATAATGTTTTATTGTGTGTTGGTCTTGCACCCCAGTGCAAACTGCCCAGATAATCTCTGTTGCCAGACTTTTTTTTTAATTTGTAAAAAACAGTTCTACTAAAAATGTGATTTTAAAAAAAGGTTTAAATTCAATTACTCATTCCCTACAGTTGCGACTATATGCGTTATTCAAGGTTCCCGACGGATGCGCTTGACTGCGTATTGGTGTGTCCTGACATACAACTCCAATGTTATTTAAAAATAGAAATGAAATCATGCATCCCCCGAAGTTTCCCGTTGATGGCATGATTCTTCCTGATTTCAAAAAAAGAAAACTAGAAGTTTTTATCATTTTTTATCTTTTAATCTATGTACACTTTAGTATGGTGCATCTCATATCAAGTACATGCTGGTCTTGCAGAGGTTCATATTATAGTACAGACCATACATTCAAAAGAAAACCTAAAAAAAACTAACATAACTTAAAATATTTTATAATGCCATTTATATTAATTAACTACCCTATTTCAAAGAGTAAAACTTACAAATTGTAACATTCAACACAGTATAGGTTTTTTTTCCCCTTCTTTTAAATAACTTTTAACAGCACTTTCAACATAGTACATTTCCTAAAAACTTTTCTGCTCCATTGGCTACCCAGGTAGATCTACACATCTCTGTGGTACCCTGGGATCTGCTTTTTTTTTTTTTTTTGTTTTTTTTTTTTTTTTTTTTTTTTGTTGTTGTTTTTTTTTTACCTTTTTGATTTTGACAGCCTTTGTAAAAAGGAAGTTTTAAATTAAGAAACAATAATGATCACTCCAAAATGGTTAAGATCGTTAAGATGCTTAGGACGTGTCAGGATAAACTGCTGCCTTTTTATTTATAACTGTACTGGTTACAACTCAATACTAACCAGGACAAATGACAAATGTCCAAACTCAGTGTGTTTTAGTACTGGTAAAATCAGAAGGAATAGTGTTTTTTTTCTTCATTTCTTTTGAAACATGTAAGTTGAATTTTAATAGAAATTAATAGGAAATTTCATTTTAAAATCCTTCATATTAACCATATCGGGTAATCTACCACTTGAGCATCGGCCAAGAAAAAATCCAGCTGTTCCAGTTGGAAGGGCTATTTAAACAATTATTCTTATATTATTTTTATGACATTAATTGTACATATTCATTCAAGCACATATATATATAATAGTATTAATACAAATAACACAAGGCACTTTTTAAAAATAGAAAAACTAAAACAATTTTTTTTTTTTAAATAGAAGCATTTAAACAATTTAATGTGTAAAAATGGAATTATGCATAATTATCCCCCAAGGTGACAATGAAGTTTTTAAAAATAATATCATTTCCACGAAAACGGTTGCGGAACATGAATTCATGTAAATAAGAAGGGAAAAGATCGCACATCCACATGTTTTCCTCATTCAGCATCACTTCATTCAACAAAATTTTGTTGATGCACCATCGTAGTGCTGAATTAGGGTCTGACAAATTCGGCAGTAGTGTGGACAGCTGCCAATACTTCTTCATTTTGTATCTGATCAGTATTAAACACTTTGTGCATCGGCACTATTGTAGTCTCTCCTCTTTTTCTTCCTGCCATATCGGCAGCTTAGTACCGTTAGTTTAAATTATTTAAATTTAATGAATTGTGCTAAATAACTTTATGCGGGAGCAAAACCATCAATGAACTCTAATATAAGAATAATTGTTTTAATAGCCCTTTCTATCGGATTAACTGGATTTTTTCTTGGCCGACACTCAAGTGATAGATTACGCCATACCAATCATCAGATTTAGTCAAGTAATGCTCGGTAAAGAGCAGGAAAGTTATCACACGCATCATTTAGGTCCTACAATTGTTCTATTCTCTCAAGTGTTGGGATTCCCCAAAGTGACGTCACTGAGCTTAGGGTTAAGGTGAGACAACTCACTCTTGACAAAACCCATACCGTTACCCCAAAATGTAGGCGTACCCAAATTTATCCGTCATAAATGTATAATAAATATAGGCTGGTTTTGAGTTAGCGGTAAGGCAGATGATGTGTTCCATGGTATATAGGTCACGGAGAATTTCTATGTTTCTTTTTTTGGTAAATAAAGACAGGGGAGGGGTCTCCTCTCCCCAGTTCCTAGAAGATCATTTCTAATGCAATTTAAGCAGTAGTCTTCCTTTTGTTACCTGCCTAAAATGGATATGAGGTCTGAGTGGCAGCCAAAACCCTTGCTGATGATTTTAACTACGCTGCCCTGAGAAAGCCGCTCCTAGGCGACCGTTTCGTCCCTGCTTACGTCCCGACCGAACAACTCCCTGGTAACGCAACACCTTCCCTCGGAGAGGAAGCAAAGCCGTTCTGATCCAAGGAGAGTGGACCAGGAACGCTTTAAACTTAGCGTTTTCAGTCGACCGGATGTCCCCCAGGCCAGGGGGAAGGTTCCCGACGTGCTTCCGCACGGTCTGGCGGCAGGGAGACCCTGCGCCGGCCCATGTGGGGGGGGGGGGGGGGGGTATTAAGAGCACACGCACGACGACCCACCGACGCCATCTATAATGAGACTTTACCTGCCTAAATACTGGTATATTGATTTCAACTAATCAAAATACATCAATTTAGGCGGCCGTCATTTTTTTCACCTGTGTTGGGTCTTGGGGTATCAGCAAGGATTTGTTTCCTTTTTCCCTTCCTTTTGAAACGTGTAAGTTGAATTTTAATACAAATTAAAGGAAAATTTCTTTTCAATATACTTCATACTAACAGTATCGTTTATGACACGAGTAATGCTCAATAAAGAACAGGAATGTTACAACACACATCGTTCCGGTCCTTCAAAGAATAGATCTATTCAACTTAAGTCCAGTGTTGGGATTTCCCAATGTGACGTCACTGCGCTTAGGCTTAGGTAGATACTTCGATAAAACAAGGAAGACTACCGCTTTTTGTGTATCAGAAATGGGCGTCGGCGCCGAAAAATCAGAGTTTTTACTTTTCCGATGTGTGTGTCTATTAAATGAGTTCTTTCAACATATATTTTAGTGCCGTTTCCGGCCTTATAATTTGGAAGACATCTTGGCCTACAGTTCCATCCAGCTTTTTTGCCTTTTTCAATCGACCTTTATTTTGAAAATCTTTGATATATATATAAGGCATCTTCGCATACAAAATTTTTTGTGAAATAGTAAGATAAGGCCCTTTTTTTTATTAAATCTGTATAAGTATTAGATATTGATATATATCTGTGCCAATATTCATTGATGTAGGTCGTGTCCCATGTTTGTTACGCTTGTCACAGTGATCCATATCACCATAAGGTGGCTCAGCCTAATTTCGACATGGCGTGGTCCACGCCCCTTTTTAATGGCAGAAGTTGCCGATACTTAGGAAATATTTAATTATTACCACTATATACATCAAAATAATGTTAACTTGAGTTTCAGTATAGTATGCATTTTGAAGACATTTAAACTGGATTGTTTTAATTTGAGCTTTAAAAACCCTGTAACTGTAGAGTCCATATCATAAATGATCAGAATTTTCCGTGTGCAACACGTTGTCATTGGCAACCATTCACAGCCACTTGCATAACCTATATCATAGTACTATCTCAGAGTTTCATTCATAAGAGTTACTTTAAAACTAGTCATTGGTTTATTTTTACAAAATGTTTAAAAGGGTGAGAAAACTCTTGGGAAAACCCATTCAAAATTTACCTAAATATATATTCATTCATCATTTCCCTCCCTAAAAGATCAATATGTGAAAAACCTTAAACTGTCAAACCTGTTGATTTGTGAGAACGTTTGAAACGCCTCCCGATGAACCTTGTTTGTCCTTCTCTTTCGTTTTCTTATCTTTCTTTGTTGATTTTAAGCCACCATCAACATCGCCACCTCCAGTAGTTCCAGATTTGGGTTTTGATTTCTTTTTACTTTTATCTTTTTTCGCAAAAAAGTCATCAAGACTTGAATCTGCCATGATTGCACAAATGTAATGCTATAATTCCGCTTAGGAGTCCGACAAATCAACAAAATATTGTGAGATACAGGAGGTTTTTCTCCATGCGCATTATTGACAAGGGAAATGACTCAAAAACAGGAAGCCGGTTTCAAGTGTTCATCTAAATGTCGATAGATTAGATAAAAAGGTGTCACACTCAAAATAAAAAATTAACGTCAAATAATAAAAGTGATCTTAAATAAATATTTTTTGCCATGGTTATTTAAATAATCAAACTTCGCATAATGATTATTAATTAAAAATATGCACGTTCTCAACACAAAGCAAATGGTTTTATTTTTGGGTGTGTTTTAACTTCATGTTCATAGTATTTTTTTTTTTTTAAGTTTTAACGTAGAAAATTTTTAGTCCGTAAAAAACGTGGAGATTAAACAATTTATGATCGAAAATATGTATATAATTGAGTTGTCGACCCGACTTGTTTTAGACGTGATGCGATTGTGTCTGTCAGTGTTTTCACTAGTTTTTGCTTCCCAAACAAATGTTTCTTTACTGGGATTGCGTTGCCGCACATTCTCCTTTATCCTAACTTAGGACAGGCCGTGGAGGAGTAAGATTCATATTTTACTATTTTTCTTTCATCTCAATGAAAATAGAGTCGGCCCGATGAAAACTGGATCGCCCAGTGCCTCTTAATAGAGTCGGCCCGATGAAAACTGGATCGCCCAGTGCCTCTTAATCTATACTTGTCATGAGGTAAGTGCCAGTATGATATCTTCTGAATAATATTGTTTGAAATGAAGGACTCCAAGCCAAATGCATGGATTACTTTTTTTTCGCTTCTTTTCCTTATTATTCTCCTTAAACAAATTGGTTTAGACTCACAAAGACAAAAAAAAAAAAAAAAAATAATCGATGAACACCACCCACCGCACCTTATAAAGCATTTTTATTTTCAAAGTTCCTTTGAAATGTATTCTTTAAAGTAGTCAGGAGAATTCATTGCTTCATGTTTCTCTCGGGTTTCATCATATTTCTGAAAGTTTTAGAGATGCACTGCCAGTAGCGTAATCGAAGTTTGTGTCACCAAAGATGGGCATGATGTTTCCCGCTTATCACCCCCACTCTCAAAGTAAGTTCAGAGCACATATTCTTGGATCAATGCATGGTTTAAGTTCGGTGTCCGGGGGTTTAAATGGTACATGTATGACATCAAAATAGATTAATTTTAAAATCTCTAAAAAAATTCCCACCTATCAATCCACAAATTTGACCAAAAAGTTTAAACAACATTTTTTGCAGTGATACCCAAATGTATCGGTTGTGGTGATGAAAACGTCGAACATTTATAACATTATAAGGTCCAAGTAAGCTAGCCTCGTGTTGTGGGTTTTTTTTTTTTGTGTTTTTTTGGTAACAATTAGGGAGATTCAAAAGATTTTGGCCCTGCAATCCTTGCGGCTGCAGGGGGACTTGGATATTTTAAGGCCCCAAAGTTGTGATGTGGAAAAAGTTTGAATATTAGCTTTGACTATGGGGGCATACAATCGAAAAGTTGCAGAGGGGCCACCAAAACTCACGCGACGGCTGCCTTAATTAAAGTCAAAGGCATATCTTGTTAATTCATAAACCAACAAAGACTTGGTCCACTAAATAAATTGAAAACTGTTTATTTACATTATAATACAGAAGAAGTTAACTCGGATACATTCATACTTGACGGCATGCTAGAGATGAGGGAAGAGGGGAAGTAAGTACTAAAGATCACATGACAGTGTTTCCCAAATCGGTTAGGAGGATCAGTGGACTTGTTTCGATATTGCAACATGAACTTGACCCGTGCCAGATTTATGGATTTTTGTTTTATTTTTATTTGACCACAAGTATTCATGTTGTGCTGACCGGCAACGTAAGGCTCGCGGATCACTACTTTTGAAACACTGACATAAATGTCGGCAATATGTCAATTATCTGTATATAATATAAGTTCAGCAGTGTGATTGTTGATAAAGTCTTCGACATTAATAAAGAGTGATGGAATGCCGTACAGGGGCTCAGTTCCCTGTAGAGATATTTTGCTAAGAAGATAGAGATTCCCCCTATGTAAGAAGATAGACATTTCCCTAAGCCTAAGAAGATATTTTCCTTTCATGTAGAATGTAGTTTACAAAGAAATTGCTCGCTGGGCTGTCCGCACTGCTTGATCATCTTTCTGCTTGTACATTTTTATTGACTGGATAATATCCGTAGCCCATCGACTATTCCTGGGAGAAAAAAAAATGTATTGGACCTGACATTTTTACCCCCCCCCCCTTTAGAAAAAGGCTGCATCTATAGGTACCCGGGTACCTATGGTCGCCAATGACGATTCACACCCGGAGTGGCTCCGTACATATTAAATGGCTTCGGAGCCGGGTGTGATAACAACCGCACTGCTTTATCATCTTTCTGCTTGTACATTTTTATTAACTGGATAATATCCGTAGCCCATCGACTATTCCTGGGAGAAAAAAAAATGTATTGGACCTGACATTTTTACCCCCCCCCCCCTTTAGAAAAAGGCTGCATCTATAGGTACCCGGGTACCTATGGTCGCCAATGACGATTCACACCCGGAGTGGCTCCGTACATATTAAATGGCTTCGGAGCCGGGTGTGATAACAATAATAGTATGTGAATTATTTTTTAAAATGTTTTTTCTCCTTGTTATTTCATTGATTCATAGTTTTATTATTTTTAGTTATTTTTTTTATTTTTGCTTTGTTAATTTCTCTTAGTACCGGTAGATTTTTTTTTCTTCTTATTTTCTTTTTTTAGTTTAAGCCATTTTCGTAGATCATTTTTTTTTTTTAATCTAGTAATGAAGACGATTTAGATACATTTATTGTTTTCATTTGAATTTTAGAAAAGTAATAATAGTAATTTAATTATTAAAATTAAATCCCTTATTTAAGATTATTTATGTGTATTGTTTAAGTCAAAAGATTTAATCACACAGTACTTTATGAATTATTTAGGTATTCTAAATAATGAAAATTTCATTCATATTGAATTAATTTCAACTATTCCTCTAGAGAGCTTGGCTTAGTCAGAACAAAACCACCAATTTTAAACCTTTTCCTTGGCACTGGGAGTCATACATGCGGACACTGACTGTTTTTCCTGATACCGGTATCTTGAATCTCCTTTCAACAACCTTTCTCATTTGACTTGACCTAATTCACAAGGTAGTTGCAATGAACATCTTAAAGTTAAAGGATGCCATTGTATAAAGTATGAGAAAGAGACTTATTTTTGGAGGACCAGTCTTATTATTTTTTTTTACCATATCTGTCTACTGGATCTAACACAGCGGTACATAATTTAATAGAAAAAAAAACCCTTAACTGACTTGAGAACATTTTTATTTGGTTGTTAGTTATTTGAGTTGTGTACTCAAGTAATCCATAAAATAAATTAGGGGCCAGTAAGGAGTAGGCAGCCAATAAACTCATTCAATTAGGTCACATCATTCCTTTGCCATTTGTCTCCTTTTACTTTCTCACCTTCCTTGTTGGTACCCGTACAGTTAACTATTGTTTGTACGGTATCATTTCTTCATTGAAGTACAGACGTAATGATTGAAAGGGAGCAAATATATGTGATCTGTGAAGGGAGTTTGGTTTCAAGGCAACTAAGTCATGCCACATTGAAAATAAAATACTGATAACCGAAATAAATAGACCCATTGAAAAAAATATAGTACATACAAACCATACACAAACAGAAAGACAAAAATCCACTAAAGTAATTTTTTAAAAATTTTTGTGACTTTTATTGCAAAAAATTAAACATTTAATACCAATTTTGACTTTACGCAAAATGAATAAAGACAAATTTGTATTGCATTGTATTGTAACTTATTGTAACTTATTGTACTGAATTGTAAATGATACTTGGCATACACATTAAGAATAACATTGAAAAAAAGTTTAAAGAAGATTATTACACAGCAGTTATTGGAAGTGTTACAAATTGCATGTATGTGGGGGTCACATAAATATTTGAGAACTCTTCAGGGGTAGCAAATGTAAAAATGTTATAAAACTTTCTAGTTGGATATATATATATATAAAGCCTCTTGAATTTCGTAAAGAATATCAATGAAAAGAAGCATGCAATGTTTGAAGGCTGTAGCTAGAATACTTTTCCTCCCGATTCATTTGGCGGTCCTAAAAAATCCCAAAAATGCAAAATTGAGAAAAATGATTTTTTAAAAATAAAATTGTGTTTTTTTGAAGTAGAGGCTGCATGAATGATATAGGATGCATACACCATGTACATATACCATTCATGAATTAAAAAACGATTAGAAAACTAAGACAGAAAGATAGAAAAAAAAATTAACTCACAAACCTAATAAATAAAATACATAAATACAAAAATTCAGAAAAAATTTTCTATGAGATATTTGTTTAAAAACCATCCATCATTAAGTAGAGAATTTCAATATAGATAAGCATGAAAAGTTTCAATTATGTAGTTCCAAAACTATTCCTCCTGATTCATCAATTGACGTCCGAAAAAAAAAATGAAAATGCTATATCGATAAAAGCTGAAAAAGACACTGACAAATGCTTATTAAAAAAAATTAAAGGTTACTTGAACAAGATAGGATGCATACATCATGAACACATTCCACTCGTTAATTAAAAAACAATTTTAGTACATAGATATAATTGATAGAATATAAATGAATGCATTTTCCCAACAACCCACTAGCCTCGAGCCTAATAAAAATAATAGGATCATAAAAACTTCGGAATTTTGTTTATTAGACATGTAATAAAAAAACAACATCAATCATTATGTATAGAATATAATAGAAAAAAAAAACCTTGCAAATTTTGAAGCACGTGGTAATAATACTTTACCTCATAATACATTTGACTTCAGAGATAAATGGAAAATCCTAAGTGGACCACTTTAAAAAGAGAAAAAAATTCAATTAAGCAATATTAGATATCGGAGTGGCTATAGGTACCCGGTAGCAAATAGCTGTTCGGACCCAGCTGGTCACGTGATGTCTTTATCACATTCGGTTGGTCACGTGATGGTTATGACGGATTTTTCCTGTGGGGTTCGCCATCTTAGAGCCAACGTGATGGTTATGA